GATTCCCTCTGCCCCAGAGGAGCTGGCTTTCCCTCTGCTGGGCTGAGAGAAGAGGTAATTAATGACAGGGAGGCCAGGAGGGGAGAGTGTTCAGGGCTAATGTTGGTATTAATGAGGGGCTGGTCCCCAGTGAGGGATAGGATTTAGCTGGGGCAGTGTGTGTGTGTGTGTGTGTGTGTGTGTTGGCAAGTGGGAGGCTATGGGGGACCAGGAGTTCTTGACTTCTCTTGTCAGTCTCCTTCTTCCACAGTGCCCCACCACCCTGCCCCTTGCCTTTGTTTCTCTGGAAGTCCCTCCTGCTATCTGCCTTCCAACCTCCTGCTGAGGAAGGGCCAGGATCCCTCCCCAAGTCCAAGTCCACTCTGGATGTGGGAGTGGGGCAGCCCCCTCACCCTTCCTTAGTCCGTATTGTGGGCAGGGGAAGTGGGGAGCATTAGGTGATTCCAGAGGCTGTCAGCCCTGCTAATTGCCTCTCAACCTTCCCCTCATCACCAGGGTGCCCCCACAATGAACTCCATTAGCCCCCCCTCTCCCTTGATAGCCCCTAAATCAGCCCCAATTATTCACAGGAGGGGATCTGGGCTGAGCTGTGATTACAGCTAGAGTGGAGGGGGTGAGGGATGGGAAGCTTGAGTGCCAGGAAGACTGGCAGGCAGGCCATAGGCAGGGCTGGGAAGGGGGGAGGGGGGGCTGTGGGCAGATCCAGGCCAGGGACCACCCAGGGGCAGGGACCTGGGAGCTGGAAATAGGGAGGGGAAGCCAGGCTGAAGATGGGTAACTGGGGGTCATAGCTTAACTTTTAGCCACCACCCCAGTTCACACTTAAGACCCAGGAGGGTGCCCGCCGTGTGGCTCAGTGGATTGAGCATCGTTCCATGGACTGAGAGGTCCTGGTTCGATTCCCAGTTAGGGCACATACCCAGGGTGCAGGCTTGATCACCAGTAGGGGGCGTGCAGGAGGCAGTCAATTGATGTTCTCTCATTGATGTTTCTACCTCTCTATCTTTCCTCTCTCTCTAAAAAAAAATCAATAAAAACATATTTAAAAAAAAGAAAGACCCAGAAGGGTTAGGGAGTGGGTCATCCTGACTATTGTCATGATTGCCAAGCATTTATGCCAAGCTTGGTTGGAGATGCAGGGATGGGAGCAGGGATGCTCCATCCTTTCAGGCTTTCCTGAGAAGACCTCACTGTGGCTTTCACCTTTCACCCAGAGCAGCCACCCTCCCTCTGTCCGTGTTCTGGTGAGCGCATCTACTGGGACTGTGGGTGGGACAGGGAGTGGCAGGTGGGGTGTGAGGTGAGTTGTATGTTCAAGAGAGAGACCAGCCTTATGCTCAACTTTCAGCCACTCTTTCCAAGTGGGATCAGGGAGCCCTCTCCAGCCCTCTCCAATTCCTTCAAGGAAGCTGCCTCTAGGACTTGTCAGCAACCCCTTCCCATCCTGGAGGAAGGAGACGCCCACACTTTGCCCCTGGCTCCCCTCTGTTAGCACACTACTGTATTCTGAGCCTACACACTCCGTGGCACCTCTGCTAGTCCAGCCCTCCTCGCTGCTCCCCTGGATCCATGCAGCAGCCTCCTCACTGGTCTCCCTCTGCCACCATGCTCCCAAACCCATTCTCAACACAACAGTAATTCTTGTAAAACCTGAGTTGCATCATGTCCCTCCTCTGTTCAAAATCCTCCAGTGGCTTCCCATCAGGCAGAACAACCTCTACAGCCTCCCACACCTGACAAGGCCCTACAGGATTTGACCCCCATTATACCTCTATCCTCAGCATCACTCATCATGCTGTCCTTGCTCACTGGGTTCCAGTCTCCTAGCTAATCTTTGAATATGGCACATGCGGTGGCCTCAGGGCCTTTGTACTCGCTCTTCCCCTGCCTGGAATGCTCTTCCCCCCGAAATCTGTGTGGCTTCCTCCTTCACCTTTATGTCTTCACCTGGAGGTTACCTTTTAGCAAGGCTGTCCCTTACCACCCTTCCAAAACCACATCCCCAGAACTCCCTTTCCCCCATGTTTTGTTTTTCTCTATTTTTTATGATAGGACTTATCATCATCCAATATGTCATGATCATACTGACTTAGTTTATTTATCATCTCTCCACCAGCACCAATACTAGAATGTAAGCTTTATTTTTTTACTTTTCATATTTGGGAAGAGATTTTTGTCTATTTTGTTCATTGCTATAGGCCCAATGCCTGCAGGTGCTCAATAAACCTTTATTCAACGAATGAATAATTGACCCTTTCCCCAACTAGCATGTGAGCTCTTTGAGGAAGGAAACCTTTATTTCTCCCTTAAATCAATTATTAAATATAAAGTTCTTAAGAGTTAAAAGTTAGTATTTGCCATTAAAATCATCAACCCATTTCCTCTGTATCCTGGGCACCAGGTAAACACAAAGTGAGTACTTGTTGAACAGAAGGATGAATGAGGACGTTGGGCCCCCTCATACTTCCCCTGGAGGGGAATTTCTGTCCTTGGAGCTGTAGGATGGGCCCAGGAGCACATTGGGGTCCAGCTTGCTGCAGGAGCATCGCACAAGGTGGCAGCCTTTCACTGTAGCGTCTACGGGGCACTCACTTTGTGCCAAGCCCTGGATCACAAAGATGATTTTGACCTGGCCCCAGTCCTTGAAGAACTCACAGCATAGGGAGAGAGGCAAGTTAGACTTTCATATGCAGGAGTGGGATGGGGAGACAGGAGCAGAGGCTGGAAATACTCCCAGAGAAAGGGCAGTTGAACTGAATGTGGAAGGGTGAGAACTACTGAGCCAGGTGAAGGCAGGGAGGAGCTCACGTTTCTCTTCTCTGGTCCTCAGTCTTCCTATTTGCCCTTTGAAGGTGATGGATTATATGTCTTTTAAGGCCCCTCTGGCCTTTGACATGCTGCAATCTATGGTCTTTGGCCTCCATACCCTGGAGCTGTGCTCTGGTTTCTGCTGCCCCCTGCTGGAGACTGTGGCACTTAAGAAAAGCAACAGTCAACATCACCTTTTCCTTTCCTTCCTTCCCCAAAGTGACCACCACCATCCAATCCGCCCCCCACCCCAAACCTTCCACCTCTCCAGCAGCAAATTAAACAACACTTTCTTGTCTCTCAAATAGAAAACTGTCTCAATACATATTATTGACAAAGCACTTGAAATCAGACTACATAAAGAATGTATAACCCAGCAATCCCACTCCTAAGGAGCTACCAAGATAAATAAACACAGATATGCACACAAGACTTTTATGCAAATGTTCATGATAGCTTTAGTCATAGTATCCCCAAATTGGAAAAAGCCCAGTGCCCATCAGCTGGTGTAAAGATAAAACACATTGGTGTAAATCCATATGATGGAATATCACCCAGTGATAGAAGCAACAAACTATTGAAAAGCCTTACAGAGAGTGAAAGAGGCTAGGCACAAGCGAGTATATATTGAATGAGTCATTTATATGAAACTCTAGAACTAGCAAATCTCCAGTAATGCAAAGCAGGTCAGAGATTTCATAGGGCTGGCTTTGGGAGGTGAGAATGGAGTTGGGGGTGCAGCATTATTTGCAAAGGGGCACAGGGAAGTTTTGAGGGAGAGGAAACATTTTTTTAAAAATTTAGATTAGGCTGGTGGTTATACAGATAAACATATTTGCCAAAACTCATCAAACTAAGACAATGAACTAAGTGAAATAAGATAGACACAAAAGGACAAATATTGTATAATTCCACATTTTAGTACTTAGAGCAGTCAAATTCACAGAGACAGAACGTAGAATAGAGGTACAAGGGGCTTTGGGAGGGGGGAATGGGGGGTGACTGTTTAATGGGGACAGAGTTTCACTTTGGGATGATGAAAAAGTTCTGGATGGTGGTGATGGCTGCACAATATGAATGAACAGTGTCTCTGAACTGTACACTTAATACTGTGTAAAACGGTAAATTTTATGTTGTGCTTATTTTACCACAATAAGAAAATCCAAAAAGCTGTCATCGAACTGTACACTTGTAAGTGGGTACATTTTTAGCGCATGTCTATTATACCTCAATAGTATAAAGTTGAATTGTAAAAGCCTTCAGGGACGAATGTTCCTGTCTTGCTCTTCCTGAACTGTTGTAGCCTGTTCTGTCGCAGGCAGTGGTTTGCCCTGTAATCAGACGGACCGCAGACCTCGGTTCAAATTCTGCTTCTGCCACTTTCTAGTGTTCTAACCACGCCGAAACTCGGTCTCATCAATGCAACCAATCTCGATTTAAGGATTCAGTGAAGCAATACACCTAAAGGGCTGATGGTGATGACAACAAATGTTATAAAACTGTCTCTGTCCCCTCAGACAGAGACTGATAAGGGAAGGGTGCCCTAAGAAGGGTGGGGGACAGGCTGCCAGCCTCCAGAGCGAGCACATTCGCCCGGGTCCGTTGTGCGGCTGTGCAAGGTGGACACCGGCCGCCGGGTGGCGCTGTGCGGAGTCCGCAGACTGAAGTGCAGGCAGAGGCGGGGACTCGGCAGGAGGCTGCTTTCAGGACCACACGGGCTCACAGGTGTCTGGGCGACAGGAGAGGGGGAGAAGCCTTTCTCCTGCCGACTTTCCTGAACCGGGCTGAGGCTGGGCGGTCCCCGGCTTGTCTAGAATGAGATCACGGCGGTCGGCCACCCTGGCAAGGGGCGATCTCATCGACTCTCCTCCGCAAGCCCACTCTGCAGACTGGAAAGCTGAGGCCCGAGAGGCGCAGGGGCCCAGGCGCACAGCTGGCGGAGAGCTGCTCTTCTCCGTTCTCCTCCCTGTCTGCTCCGGTCCCGGCTGCCGACGGTCGGTGCCGCTCGGCCTCTGCAGTCCTGCTCCAGCACCGTCTTCCTCCCGGGTCCTCTGGCTCTCCGGGCCGGCTCCGGGCTTCCTTGTCAAAACTTCCTGCCGCGGCGCGGCCCGAGTCCCACCTCCTTCCTGCCCCCCGCCTCCGCGTCTCCCCGCCCTGCCGGCCTCGGCCTCGGCTCTGCCGCTCCGCAGTCGGGCTGGGGCTCCACGCGGGACCCTCGTCCTGTCCTCCTCCGGCCACCCCTGCGGTCCTCACCCCAGGCCGACAGAGAGGTAGGGCCCCAAGCAGGTGAGTGACTGCGTCTCCCCGCCCCGAGGGAGGGCATGCGGACGCTGCAGCCCCTCCTGGACTGGAGTCCGAGCCTTCTGGGCGGGGGGAGTGGGGACAGAAAGGGACTGAAAGAGACGCATGCGAAGGGGTCGAAGGGGTCGGTGTAGCACAGGGGCCCAGGGGACTGGGTTGCCACGCATAAAGAAGCAACAGGTACACGACATGCAAATGAGGCTGCTTCCCCAGCCCTGGCTACACCTGGGTGAGCCCAAGGGGTGCCAGGACCTCTACTTGGCTCCCGGGGAGCTTTAAGAGCACCCACAGGGGAGTCAGGGCTGCTACTCTACTCGGCTTCTTACTAGCTGTAGGACCTTCATCAAGAGACTTAAACTCTGTGCCTCACCTTCTCATTTCTAAATATATAGTGCCTACCTCCTGGGGTAGTTGTAGACTTAGATGAACAAAAGCATGTCTCCTGGTCGGTGTTTATTATTAGTGTTTGAGGAGGATGTAGAGAAGGGACCTAATTTTGCAGGTTTCTGGCGCTCAGAGCTTTGTCGGTTTGGAGGACTTAGGAAGATGACGAAAGGTCTCAGGTACCTGGGTCCTCAAAGAACCCCGTGGCTTGGGATGATCTGAGGTAGCGCTAAGAGCAACACTGGTGTGTGTGGTGGAGGTTGAGGTTGGGGGCAGGGCAGGTCCAGCTCCAGGAGCCCAGGCCCCGGCAAAGCCATCCCTCATCCCCCATCTCCAGCCTCCAGTAGTAGTCTCTCTGCTCTCCTGGCCTTTCATGAGTGGCCTCTCCTGGGGCTGGGCTGTGAACCTAGTCCCCGGGGATGGGAACAGCTTGTGCCGGCCTGAGGTTCCCAGGATCAGCTAGACCTCAGCTCCAGGCAAGATTAGGCAAGGGGTCAGCTCTGAACCCCAGCCTAAGCTGGGCCTGGGAGCAGGGAGCCCACTCCACAATATAGGACCATGTGAATACACACGTGAGCCAAGGTGTGGGGTCAGCTCTCCTGCCTCCTGTCATTTGTCCCTTGCTGCTGCCTCTCCCACTTCTGAGGTCTTCCAAAGTCTACCCATCATCCTTGCTGCTGCAGTCGGGGCTGTGTTCTCTGCCACCTAGGAGCTGGCTTGGTGGCCAGGCTCACCTCTCTGTCTTTCTCTCTTCACTGGGAAGTCAAGTCTGTGGTTGATATAAGTTTCTCCACTGCCCCACCCCCCACATTCCCTATCAGACTTTCCCAGAAGAGGAAACTCCAGGCAGCTCCATCCACCAATAGGAAACCTGGATGGAGATAGAGGTCACTGGGCTTCTGTCTGCCTCCCACATCAACATGAACTGCTGGGGAGGGGCTGAGGCCAGGCCAAGCCTCCACCGAGGTGGTCCCCAGCCTCTCCTTCCTGGCCTTGCAAGCCTTGAGAAAGAGGACTCCTGTGACACTGAGGGGCTCTGGGGCCCATCCTAACTCTGGGGAGGGTGTTGGCTTCATTCCTGGCACATGACCTTTGGGGAGAAGCCAGCAGGAGGAGGAAGAGAAGGCAGGGAAGAAGAAAGAGACACAGAAAAACATAAATATGGAAACAGAGAAAGAGACAGAGAGACTCCTGGAAACAAGGCCCAGAGGGGAGGAAAAGGCCAACTTAGAAAAACAGAGCAGAGACCTCGGGGCAGAGCAAGAAGGAGGGAGGGGCAGGAAAGATGGAGTCAGAAGACCAAAAAGAAACCAGCGGGAGAGAAGGACCTGAAAGGGCTGCATAGGTTGGCCCAAGCTCCGATGGTGGGCCGTGTGACCTGGGACAAACGCCTTAACCTTCCTGGAAGATTTCTTCATCTACAAAATGGGAGGCATAACGGCGTCTACTTTCTAGGACTGCTGAGGGAATGTGAAGACGGCATCTAGCCCACAGTGTGCGTTTAACAAGGGGTGGTGATTGGTATTCTCCGCTCACATATGGCAAGATAGAGGTCTCCAGACAGGAACAGCGCGTGGGTGGGCCCTGGGGCCTCCTGTGTCCCCTCTCCTGCCTCTGTCCCTGCCCCCACCCTCGAAGTTGGGCATCTGGAGCCCACTCCCTCTACTGAGGAGGAGGCGTGCAGGGACAGTGAGGGACGTTGTCCCCGGGCAGGAGGTGCACACCCCTCCTCTCCAGGTGATTCAGTGTCCTACCACGGGCACTCATCCCATAGGAACTTGGAGGCCAGCCCTGAGGAATTCCTGCTAGAGGCCAGGGGGTCAGGTCTGGAGAGGCCTTTCACTTTGTAACAATGGCAGTTCTTTCTAGAATTCCACCTTCCATCCTCTTGCCAAGGCGGTGTCTTGAGGGCCCTGAAAGGACAGCCCGTCTGCTGTCTACCGAACCAGGGAAAAGCCACCCCTCCGAACGTCACTCGCGCTCTCCCGGTCCCCAGGGAGTCAGATCCAGTCTCACTGGAGAAAGGATTTCAGGGTTTATCGGTCCATCCATTTCACTCCACACAAAATGTTTAGCTGTGGCTGGCCAGATGCCAGGCATCCTGGGTGCATGCTTGTAGGTGCGGGTGGTGCTGGGGACCCGTGGAGAGGAAGGCAGAGACGTGCCCAACCCCACGTACCCCATTCCCGTGGGCAAGACAGACCTGAACAAAAACACAGTGACTACGGGGTGGGAGTGAACATCTGGGGGGCAGTCACCCACAAATGGAGCCTAGGAGAGGAATTATTAGATTGGAGGGGCAGCCCAGCCTGGTGAGAAACGAGACTCCTGAACCAGCAGTAACAAGTGGTGTCTCATCACCTGATCGGTCCTCAGATTTTAGGTGTTCCAGGGTCTGCGGACTTCTGGATTGGTCTGGCTAGTCCCCCATCCCCCCAGAGGAGGTTCTAAGCCTTTGGCTGGGGTGTCTGGAAGTATTGATCCGTGTCCATTTTTGAGCTGGCCTTTGGGCAAAACTGGGGTGTCCTGTGGTGATGAGGGCAGGGCGGAATAGGTGAGGTCTGGAGCCACTGAAGGGGCGTCCAGGAAGAGGCCAGCCTGAAAGGAAGGGTCCGACCCGGGCATTTCAGGGGTGGCCTGGGCAGAGGTGGCCGTGTGGTGAGAAGGTGTGGGGACAGCGGGCTGTCCAGTGTGATGGGAGCACACTGCAGAGCCATGGATTGGAGAGCTGGTGGGGCTTGCCCCTGGGTGCCCTTTCCCGCGGTGTGGGGAGCCACAGAGGGCGTTAGAGAGGGGTGGTGGCCAGAGCACAGCTGCACTTTCTGAGGTATCCGGGGGTGGCAATAAGCACCCATTGGTGATGGGCCAGAGGGAACTTTCCACTGGAAAGAGTTGCTCCCTGGCCTGTGTCACCCCAGGGGCTACTCTCCACCCACTGCTTTGTTTTTTGAAGAAGCTGTTAGTCCTGCAGTTGCCTCTGACAACCAGGCAACCTTGGGCAGGTCTTTTACCTGAGACCCCATGGTCTCACCTTTGTAGTGGGGAACACAGTCACCAGTGCCTACGGGTGGTGGCAAGGGTCGGGACAGGCACTGGCTCCAACCTCCAGTGGGCGTGGGGACATTTGGTGAATCAGAATCCCTGCAGTTTCCCTATTTCCTGATGAGTAAACAGAGGACCCTCTAGCTCCTGTTTCCTGAGCCACAGAGAACACAAGGCCGGCCCTTCACCCCTGCCCCCTTCCCGCCCGGCCTCTGGCACTTGCACGCAGGCTTCCTGTCCCTCCATCCGGCAGACATGCCTGGTGTGCCGAAGGCCTGGCTTGGCGGGACACAGGCGGGGCTCTGCGCTCACATGTGCAAACATGTGTGTGTGTGCACTGAGTGGCGTGCGGAGCTGGGTCAGAGTGCATCCCTACTGGGGGGAGGGGGTCTTCGGACTGGGAGCTCACTGAGTGAGGAGGACTAAGGGATCCTAGCCCCATGGCAAAGACACGTTAGGAAAGGGCACAGAGAAACAGACAGAGACAGGGAGAGAGGCAGACAGACGAGAGAGATACGAGGCAAGGCAACCTTGGCACCAGGCTAAGACAATGGCTTAGGGAGCGGGTTGTGGTTGGAGTTTGGCTCCCCCCTCACACCTGAAGGTGGATTCCCTAGGGCGGTGAACATACTGTCCAACTGTTCACGACAGCCTTGATATAGGAAAGGAAGGAGAAAGACGACAAGACAGAGCCCGAGAGACTGATGGAGGAAGAAAGGAAAAGGTAGAAAGCAGAGAGTTTCTGATGGAGAACAAGATAAAAGGAAAAAGAAAGAGACAGAGAGCCTGGAACTTGGGGTTTCTGTTTGTGCATGAACACAGCACACTGAGCAGCCTCTGGTCTGAGGTTCTGTTCCAGGATGGTCACTGGAACCAGCAGTTCCAACCTCACTGAACCCTGGGCGATGTGGGGTTATTCTCCCATTTTACAGACGAGGAAATGGAGGCTCACAGGGCTCAACTGCCATGGCTGAGGCCACACAGCTTGTGAGTCCTCGAACCTTTGGACTCCAAGATGGCCGTGGGGGAGAGCGCGGAGGGGCCAGTGGACCCCAGCGGGGACTTGGAGGTGCTCAGGCTGAGGGCGGGGGAAGCAGAATCCAGGCTGCCTGCTTGTCAACCGCCTTGGCTTGAAGTATCTGGCGGCCAGCCCGTTGTTCGGGGGATCAGAGCAGGCCTTCCACTCCCTTTCTCTCTGTTAGCACCTAAGGCTCCATTCTTTTCCTGGATCATCCTGGGGGTTCTTCAGAAAAAACAAGAAAGCTTTTCCTGGAGTTAATACTCGAAGGGCGTGACAGTGCCAAGGGATGTGGGGATGGGTGCAGGGCTGAGACTGATGTTAACTGAGCATCTTATATACGGGCTGTGTCTGTACCAACTCGTGCTTTAGTCTGACAACGACCCTCCCAAGGGCAGTGCTGTTATCCGCCCGATTTTACAGCTGGGATTCACACCCAGGCTCGAAGGGATGTGGAACTCAGAGGGTGTCCTGGGCTGTACTGCCTCCCAGAGAAGAGAAGCTGGGAGGGCTGGGTGAGGAAGTTCCTCTTGTCTCGTTTCCATCAGCCTCGTTCTTGCTGTTCGCCTTCTATAAAAATGGCTATCTGTCCACTAGGAACTCTGCCCCCTCCAGAGGCCTCAGATTCATTCCCCTCCTCCCACCACAGGCTGTGGCACAATGAGGGGAGGGGACTCCCCACCGGAGGAAATCAGGCTGAGCTTGGAGAGAGCAGGGGAGGATGAGCTGGGTTGGGCCCTGTGTGGGCTTGGGGGTAGAGAGGGCAGGGATTCTGGGGGCTGTGCAGCCAGGACTGGGGATGGGACGGGGGTGTGGGGGGGCCTGGCCAGAAGCCCAGCTGCTTTGCATCTCGAGGTGGAGGAGAGAGACGTGTCAGCTCATTCTTGACTGTAAACACATCCCGGTTCCCACGCCTCTGATCATGTTCTTGCTGCAGCCCCCACCCTCCCCTTCTCCTGCCAGGCTGCTCCCCTCCCCATAGCTGAGGCTATTAAAGAGAGATACGAGGCCCTGGGATCCCCGCCTGGACTCTGAGAAGTCTGGAACCATTGGGAGGCCTCTGCCAGCACCGATACTGCTGGCTGTGCGGCACCGGGAAAGTGGCTACCTCTTTGTGCCTGTTTCCCTGTCTGTAAGATGAAGAATAATTCCTGCCACCAGGGACGGACGGATATAAGCTTTAAATCAGCCAGCACCCTGCCTCATTCATCACCGTAGCTGATGTGTGGAATCACTATTATTCCTGTTGTGAGGGAAGGTGTCTGGGTCCCTCAAACCAGAGATACAGTGGCGGAAGGAGGGGGCCATCTGTATGGGAAGAAGCAGTAGGGGACACTGGGGGTGCATCTCAGTGAATGAATCGAGGGCCCCTGGGGTGGGATGGGGTGTCAGTAGCTATCTGATTTAAACCCCTTGAGGGGCTCTTGTAATCACGCGAGCCCAGTGCTGCTGGGACTGGCGGGGGCTGGGAGAGACTGGACCAGCGCCTCAGGTGCCCTTGACCCTCAGGAACAGAAAAGCTCCAAAGGGAACAACCCTGGGAGGCCAGGGTGGGGCTCTAGGCTCCTGGCCAGGCCTGTGCTCCCTCCTCAGGGGCTGAGGCAGGTCAAGCCAAACCCTTCTTCTCCCTGCCAGGCTCCGCATCCCATCTCCCCTCCCTGCTGACTACCCACTGGTGTCCCAGACCCCACCCCCTGGCTTCCCCCACCACCAAGCCCCTGATGCTTCCTCTGCACTCGGTCCTACCATGAGGCCCTTTGGGAAAACAGAATCTCTTCGCCCTCCATTAGAGCCCAGCTATGCTCATGCTCCCCTCCCCACCCCGGGTCTCTCTCAGAGCCCCCAGGAGAACCATTTCCTCTAGAAGTTGGTCGGGAGGAGGTGATGGTGGGAAGGGCTGATGTGAATGGAGGAAGGACTTTCTGTGGCCCGGAGCCCAGTCCGCATGGCCACTCCTCCTGTGCCTCCACTCAGACCCTTCCTGCGGCAGGTTTTCCCACCTTACTGGGGCCTCACACTGGGGACAGATCCTGGCCAGGGAAGCCTGGGGTCCTGGTGGGTTGGAGCTGAGGTTTACCCAGTGGTGGCCCTGGATCCAGACAGACTGAGTTCTAACCTGAGGTCAGGGGCCCCATGCCAGGCCACAGTGGGGGTCCAGCAAGAATGGAATGTGGAAGGGGGAGTGTGTGGAGGGCTCAGGGTCCTACCCACGGCCCTGGCTGCTGAGCACTTGAGCGAGAAATGGGAGCAGACAGGACGAGCCCTGGAGATGGGCTCTGGACCTGGGAAGGGCTGGAGCAGGGCAGGGGCAGAGGGAGGACTTGGGAGAAGGAGCTGGCTCTGTTTGAGAGGGGGTGGCAGCAGTGGGGGAGAGGCCGAGGGGCGGTGCACGGGACAGGCGGTGGGACCTGAGCGCAGGCTGAGCCCCTCTCACCCACTCAGAGTGACCACAGCACTCAGCCCCAGAGATACGCCCCTGGAAAGAGGCTTTGGCCTTGATCCTCCACATCCCACCTCCTGAGCTGAGGGCAGAGGGGGACAGAGCCACCCGCACTCCCTGTGCCCCCCCACCCCAATACACACATTCTAGCTGGTCTCCGTTTCCTGTTTCCAAGCTCCTTGTCCTGAGCACAGGGATCCCCCAGGACACTCTCTAGCCCCCTTGAGGCCATGTTGCCAGCCACCCAAGTTTCTCAGGTCAGGATGCTATAGGGCCGGTGGGTTACCCATAGTGACAGAAGCCGGAGGTGGAGATTTGCACCCAGGGACTGCGGTGGGACAACTAGCTAGAGTGGTGGGGTGGCACTGCCCCTCTGCAGTAATGGGGGGCTCTGGGTAGAGAGTTTCAGGGGGAGGGAGGCCACCTGGGGAGGAGAGGTAGGCCGCCCTTCAGCCTCGAGGGATTTCCATGGGGCGCGCGCACCAGAACAGTCACGGAGCTCCAAGACCTGGAGGGAGAGCGGCGCCCTGCCCAGCTGTGGGCCCCTGGGACTGTGTGGGTGGGGGCACGGGGGTGGGGCCAGGCACCAAGCATTCCAGAGATACTCAGGGGTATAAGGGGCCAGCAACCCGACCTTTCTGCTCCCAAATCATAAGCAGATGTAGGCGCTTCAGGGAGGCTGAGCGGGAACAGGGCAAGTTTTAGGAACATTAAACATGGAATCTGAAACCAGCAGCGGGGGCGGCCACTCAGGACCTCAGCCTCTCTGAGTTTCAGGAGCAGAACAGACTCATTTGAGTCCTGTCCCGCTTCCCACCCACTGGGCGAGGTTGGGGTGGAGGAGATAGAGAGGAGTCCATTTCCGGATGGCTGACGGGGTGGCCAGAGGGAGGTGGGTGCTTTCATTAAACCTGAAGCCAGGTTGGGGACTTCCGGGGTGATAGCATCTGCAGTTGGGTGCGACCGTGTACTGGTGAGTGCTTAGCAACGGGGTCTGGTATGTGTTTGTGTATGGCTGGCTTGTGTTTGTCGATTGCCATGGTGTAAATAATCCCCCATACCTGATTTCCAGCTACAATGTGACATCGGGAGTTGGGAGAAGATGAGCATTGTTGGTTCTCATGGGTCCTTATGGGCAGTGCCACACACCAGTGGGTGGGAGGGGCCTCCTTCAAGGTCACCTGGACCCAGCCCTACCTGCTCCCATCCTATATGGAAGGTAGCCTGCAACTATATCAGGGTGGTTTTGACCGCTGCCTGAATACATCCAGTGATGGGGAGCTAACCACAGAGGTCGCTGATTTCATTACCTGACTGTTGGAAAAGTCTTCCTCCACTGAGCCCAAGTCGACTTCCTTTATAACTTCCCCCCATTGGCTGTAGTTTTGAATTTTGGTGTAAACATCAAAGGGCCCTGGGTAGGGGCTGGCTTGGGAGCTGGGGATTCAGAGATAAAAGGCACTGGTCCCTGCCTCTAGAAGTCATGATCAGGGAACAGAAATTGGAACAGTGGTGTGTGGGGGATGGTGCTGGGGGCTCCAGAAGAGATGGGTGGGGCAGTCTGCTGGTGGGGTCGAGGAGCACAGCAGACAAGGAGGGGCATTAGGGGCTAGACCTTGAAAGGAGAACTCAGGGTGAAGAACAGAGGGAGGACAGCTAGCAGAGGAAGCAGCAAGGCTCAGACATACACACACCACCTAGTCAGGAACGAGACCTGGGGAGCTGGCCGGAGGACCAGAGGCAGCAGCCTCTCCCTTCTACCACCCCTGCTCTGGTCTCTGCAGAGACTGGGGCCTCTAGGCTGTGGCTGCAGTGCCCCTCACCGGCCACGTCATGCCGCAGGCCTCTGCAATGTCGTCACCTCTGTGCTCCCTCCTTCTGGCCCTGGGCCTGGTGCTGGCTGGAACCCTCAACCCCAATGACCCCAACACCTGCAGCTTCTGGGAAAGGTGAGAGGGGCCCCTGCTGGGCCTTGAGGGCCCCAAGCCCCAGCTCCCCATTCTCCCTACAGGGCTCCTCTTCCCTTTCCTCCCTCCCTCTCTCCAGCCTTCACCTCCCTCCTATTTCTGATTCTGTTCTCTCTACTCCCCCCACGGGCTGCCTCTGACTCTCTTCCCATCTCTGACCTTGTCTCCATCTCCATCCCAGCTCCAACCCTGTCTGTCCTTTCTTTATCCCAGCCCCTTGGTCTCAGTGGGAGTCTACAGGACAGAGCACAGAGTGGGGGCCCTTTTCTGAGCGTGGGGCAAGCAGAGGGGCCGGCCCAGGGGGAGCAATGGGGACAGGGTTGGGAAACAGGCCTAGGGCGGGATGTGATCCGAAATGCTCAGCCCACGTTCATCAGTGGGCCCAGAGTCAGCTCTAGCGCAATCTCCCTGCATGGGAAGAGGAGGAAGGAAGACTTGACGGCTCTGGTCCTATAGGGTGAGAAGGGGGCTCTGATGGGGCTGTCCCAGGAATATTCTAATTCTGGGAGGATCCCTTCAGATTGGGGTGCAGGACGGGGGAGCAGGCCCAAATGTTGGGGTGGCGATTCCTCACTGTGGCCCAACTTCACAGCCCCGTTTCCCAGGGCACCTGTGCCAGCTCAGGCCTCTCCCTGCCCCGGGCTGACCCTTCCCTGTCTTGCAGCTTCACCATCACCACCAAGGAGTCCCACTCCCGCCCTTTTAGCCGGCCGCCCTCGGAGACCTGCGAGAAGCCCTGGGAGAGCCCCCATACCTGCTCTCAGCCCACGTGAGTGCCCTGACCCCTCTGAGGGCATGTGGGCTTCTGCTCCTACCACCCTCCTCTCTCCTCAGAACCTTCAGAGCCGAGAGGAAGTATCTGGCCTCCAGGAACTCCGGGGCTGGGGTGTGTTCTGCGCTCTCCCAGCCCAGAGTGGGGGACAGAGCTGCGCTGTGTGAGGGGTGCTGGGGCCTCAGCGGGGCGACTGAGGGCCCTGCTGGTCCCCCCAGGGTTGTCTACAGGACCGTCTACCGCCAGGTGGTGAAGACGGACCACCGAAAGCGCCTGCAGTGCTGCCCCGGCTTCTACGAGAGCGGCGGGGCCTGCTTCCGTGAGTGCTGGTGGGGCCGGACGGGAGGGGCTGGCGCACCCACCCGCTAGGGCTGCTCCTCCGCCCTTTGGGTTTCGCCCCCTCCTCCCGCTCACCTGGCTTTGTGTCTAGGGACACAGCTGCGGATTCCTACCTCTGACTCTAGCTGATGCATGTTTCTCCCATCTCCTCTGCATGCCCCTCAGCAGGTCTCTACATCTCTGTCCTTCCAGAGCTGTTCCTCTGTTTCTGGTCTGCATCTGTCTCTGTCTCTTCCTGTCTCTGTTGCTATCTGTCTCTGACTTGTTGCTGTTCCGTCTCTCCTGCCCCCCCCAACACCCTGAAACCCCCAGACTGGGTCCAGCTGTGCCCCTCTCCCCTTTCCTCACCTCTGGCCCGTCACCAGCCCCTGCCAGCCTGACCTCCCTGACCTCCACTCTCTCTGGATAGCATCCACGTCTAGGTGCCACCCGAGGAACCCTCTTCCTGTTTCTCAAGGTTCCTTGAAGATTCCACGGAAAGGGCTGGGGAGCTGGGATCCTGAGGTCTGCCCCTCAGCCTTCCTGCTGCTGGAGGCAGAACTGTGCTTAGAAAACCGGGGCCCCAGTGCAGGAGGGAGTGGGGTTAGGCTGCAGAGGGTAAAGGTGGGTCAGGGCAGGGTTGCGAGCCTCCTCCACTCCCCGTCTCTGCCCCAGCACGTTGTGCCCAGGAGTGTGTCCATGGCCGCTGTGTGGCACCCAATCAGTGCCAGTGTGTGGAAACCTGGCGAGGTGACGACTGCTCCAGTGGTGAGTGGGTGGTGACTGCAGGGCCCCGGGGCACATCTCCTTCCCAGGGCACAGGTGCTTGGGACTCCAGGGCAGTTATCCACCAGAGCCCCTTTGGGATGAGCTGTGTGCCGCCTTTTCCAGGGATGTGGTACAGCGTTTGAGCCAAGCCAGACGTGGGCATATGTGGGGCTTGGGGGACAGAGACAGGGATTAACTGGGGGCTGGGGAGGGTTGAGACCCCTGTTGACCCCCTTCCACCCTCCTAATCTCACAGCGTGTGCCCCAGGAGTGTGGGGACCACAGTGTGACAAGCCCTGCAGCTGTGGAAACAGCAGCTCCTGTGACCCCAAGAGTGGGGCATGTTCCTGTCCCCCTGGACTGCAACCCCCGCACTGCCTTCAGCCCTGCTCCCCTGGCCGCTATGGCCCTGCCTGCCAGTACAGCTGCCAGTGCCACGGGGCACCCTGTGACCCCCAGACCGGAGCCTGCTTCTGCCCCCCAGAGAGAACTGGGCCCAGGTGTGTAATGGGGCGAGCACACCAATGGGGTCACAGACACAGGACCACACAGGCATACATGGGCCTATGAGGGAACTCAGGCAGGGTTCCAAATGTGGGGATGGAGTGAACAGGTCAAGACCCTAGCCCCAGTTCTGCCACTCACTGGTTGAGTGACCTTGAGCAAGTCATTTTTGTGAGCTTGCTTCCTGTCTGTGCAATGGCAACACCGCTGTCCCTGTGGAAAGGTTACTGTGAAGATAACATGAGAGAGCATGTATGTGAAAGCATGTCATAAAAAGAGGCTGAGACGGACCCAGAGAGCCCTGTTGCAAAGCAGGGTACGGGGAGAGCTGGGGAGTGACAGGGAGGAGAAGGTTCACCTGGGTGGAGACCAGTGATCCAGCTTCACAGAGGAGCTCCAGGGCTGAGACCCCCACACAGGCCTTTCCCCAGAAGGAACGGCACGCGCAGTGGAGGAGGTGGAGCAGGTGCATGGGGCTGTTCACTCTACCCCACCTGGCGGTGCTGTGTGTTCCTGCCATTTCCAGTCCTGGACATTTTTACTTTCTGATAGCAGTCTCCAACGGGGAAGGGGTTCACTGAGCCCTGAAGTCAGGCTTTCCTCCTGGGAGGGCGTGTGAGTGGGTGGCCAGCCCTTAGCGACAAAGGGGAGGTAGGTGCTGCTTGTTCACATCCTGACCTCACTTGCTCTGCTGGGCAGCTGTGAGGTGTCCTGTCTCCAGGGCACTGTTGGCTTCTCCTGTCCCAGCACCTCTCCTTGCCAAAATGAGGGTGTCTTCCAGTCCTCCCAGGACTCCTGCAGCTGCCCACCTGGTTGGATGGTATGAAGGGTGGGGCCTGTTGAGCTGGGGTGGGAGTCTGGGGACAGTTCTGTGGGTGTTTTCAGTAGGGCTCTGAGGAGGGTCTAGGTGAGGTGGGTGAGCCCTGTGGGCCTGAAGAGGTTTGTGGGCTCTTGGTATGGTAGCATCAAAGGGTCCTATAACCATGGGGAGGGGGCTGGTGCCTGGGACTCTGTCCAGCTCTCCCCCCCGCAGGGCACCATCTGTTCCCTGCCCTGTCCGGAGGGCTTCCATGGACCCAACTGCTCCCAGGAATGTCGCTGTCATAACGGTGGCCTCTGTGACCGGTTCACTGGGCAGTGTCGCTGTGCTCCTGGCTACACTGGAGATGGGTGAGTGGCACTGTCGAGGGCAGGAGCGGTGGGGGCAGGCCAGGAGGGGTGGCCGTGGCCAGGCTCACTCAGCTGGGCGCCCAGGTGCCGCGAGGAGTGCCCTGTGGGCCACTTCGGACAGGATTGTGCTGAGACCTGCGACTGCGCCCCCGGGGCCCGCTGCTTCCCAGCCAACGGCGCGTGTCTGTGCGAACATGGCTTCACGGGGGACCGCTGCAGGGAGCGCCTCTGCCCCGACGGCTTCTATGGCCTGAGCTGCCAGGTGCCCTGCACCTGCGACCCAGAGCACAGCCTCAGGTGGGCCGCGGGACACTGGTCAAGGACTCAGGAGGTCAGTGGGAGAGACCTTCGGCACTGAAGCCGCCCGAGTCATGAAAAGCACCAGGGGCATTTCCAAGGGCGGGTCAGATGTCACAGAGGGAAAAGAGGGGTCTTGGAGGACGGGGAAGTGGGGCGCTCTCGGAACAATACCGAGCCTTCCTTATGGCCCCCACACTCGGCAACGCGGCTGTCCCTCGCTAAGGGATCCGGAGGATGGCCCGCGGTCCCCGCTCAGAACGCGCCCCCGCCTCCACCCGCAGCTGCCACCCGATGAGCGGGGAGTGCTCGTGCCAGCCCGGCTGGGCCGGCCTGCACTGCAACGAGAGCTGCCCGCACGACACGCACGGGCTCGGCTGCCGGGACCACTGCCTCTGCCTGCACGGCGGCCTCTGCCAGCCCGACAGCGGCCTCTGCCGGTGCGCGCCTGGCTACACGGTGAGACGCGCCCGCGACCGGCCCGGGGACGGGAGGCCGGGCGGGGGCAGGAGCTGGCCCTCTCACTAGGCTGCCCACTGCATTCAGGGCCCGCACTGCGCTAGCCTCTGTCCGCCTGACACTTACGGAGTCAACTGCTCCGCACGCTGCTCCTGCGAGAATGCCATCTCCTGCTCCCCTATCGACGGCGCTTGCATCTGCAAGGAAGGTAATGGGGTGCGTCCGGGATGTGGCAATTTGGGGGGCGGGGCCGCGGAAAGAAAGGAGGGTCCGAGGGCAGGTGGGAGGCTGCAGGGTAAGGGAGGAGCCACTGGGCAGCAGCTGGACTGTGGGAAAGTAGCCAGGCTACTTCCTTCCTGGAATCTCCACTTTGCTCTTTCAACTGCACACATCCCATTCATCCTTCAAGGCCCAGGCCAGAAGGCCCCTCTTTGGTGAACACTGTAACCCTCAGTGATACAGAACTACAGAATGACAGCACCAGGCAGGGCCTCCAAGATCTACCAGTGGTGGTAATCTGTAGGTTGGATTCTGACACAGATGTGTTTTGTTTGGTTAGCTCTCTGTTATGTTTAACAAACCTCCAGTCTCCTCCTCCCTACTGCCTTACACATGATCTGGATAACTCATTTAATTACCTATTGGGGTCTCTGTAAGCATTTGGATGTTCCCAACTCACTTCATTTTGCAGAAGAGGCATATAAGACCCAGAATGGGTGCTGCATGGCTGGCAGTCATTTCGCTTTCTGTTCCACATCAAACAGTTTATATGCTTCTCTCTTGTATGGACCACGAGCATCGCCACTCCACCCCCCAACTCACAGTGCAGAGCTTGGCACAGCCAATGACCAGTGTGTGCTCGCTCAGGAGGGGAGCTGGGTCCCCATGCCTACCGACAAACCCCTCTTCCAGGTTGGCAGCGTGGTAACTGCTCTGTGCCCTGCCCACCTGGAACCTGGGGATTTGGTTGCAATGCCAGCTGCCAGTGTGCCCACGAGGCAGCCTGCAGCCCCCAAACTGGAGCCTGCATTTGCACCCCTGGGTGGCACGGGGCCCACTGCCAGCTCCCATGTCCAGTAAGTGCCCAACAGCCTGCCTACCTGGGGGAGGAGAGAGCATGGCATCCCTCAGCTGATTAATCAGTCCTACCCTCCACTCCCTCTCCAAGAAGGGGAAGTTTGGTGAAGGCTGTGCCAGTCACTGTGACTGTGACCACTCTGATGGCTGTGACCCTGTTCATGGACACTGCCAGTGCCAGGCTGGCTGGACAGGTGAGCATTCTGGGTGTCCAGGCACCAGGACCACTGGGGAGTTGAGGGTGATTCCCCCAGGAACTATGTCAAAAACTCCCATAGGTACCCAGTGCCACCTGCCCTGCCCTGAGGGCTTCTGGGGAGCCAACTGTAGCAACATCTGCACCTGCAAGAATGGGGGCACCTGCATTCCTGAGAATGGCAACTGTGTGTGTGTACCGGGATTCCGAGGTCCCTCCTGCCAGAGATGTGAGGCTTCCTCCCCTGCCCCCATGTGCCAACAGTGTGGTGCAGTGTAGTGTCAAATGCCAGAAGCCTTCCACTCTACTCATCTTGTTTTCTTCCACTGATTCCAATCTTTGGGCCCGTTACTGCAGTGGGAAGGAGGGAGGGAGATAGTGGGATCAAGGGCTGATGGAGGGGTGACCCCTGCCTCCAATCACCAGGAGCCCCTTTCTCTCAGCCTGCCAGCCTGGTCGCTATGGCAAACGCTGTGTGCCCTGCAAGTGTGCTAACCACTCCTCCTGCCACCCCTCGAACGGAACCTGCTACTGCCTGGCTGGCTGGACTGGCTCGGACTGTTCGCAACGTACGTGGTAGCCTAGTGGTGGCTTGTGTGTCTGAGTGCGTGTGTGTGCCCAGAGGGTGGCTGAGAACCAGAGGCTTCTGTTCCCTACTCCTGGGTATAAAAGCCTCTGGACCTACCTTGATTCAGTCAGTTATAGAAACAATATAAACAAATACTCATTGGGCATCAACTTCCTTGTGGGTGCTGAGGATGCAGCAATGAACAGGTTGGGAAAAACAATTCCCTGTCCTTCTGCACCGGAGACCCAGGAGGAGCAATACAGACAAGGGGATGAGAGAAACCACAAGCTCAATTTTGAACATCTTTTTGTTTTTGCATTTTTCAATTTATTCATATGTGGCTTCTTTCCCACAGAAATATATGAAGAACATTATGGAAAAGACTAATGCAAAACAACCAAGTGAAATAAAATTTGAAAAGGGAAATGGGAAGCTATTACTATGAAACAGGCTGGATGTAAGCTCATCACCAGGCAGGATAGAGATCAGTCATCTTGGTGAAGAGTTTTGCCATAGAATTCAGTAATAACTACTATTAGATTATTTGTTAATGTCAGATACAAAAAAAGTATGCCTTACATGGCATGAACATTTACTTCCATCACATTTTGTTTTTTATAAAGTCCAGAGCTACACAGTGCAGGCAGTTTGGACGGCTTTGGCTGTCTGGCCCGGCCACGTTGTTCTGGACGGCTCGTATGTAGCCAAGTGCAGATGCTAAGTAGGAGTTGGGTCTGCAGATCAGCATTTGTGAGTCAGCTGTGTGTAGATTCTTGTCAAAGCCTGTGTGTCCCCGGGAGACCAAAGCTGAGGGGAAGATTTCAGTGATGTTGGGGGCCGAGAATTTATCTGGTGTATGCAGGGAGGGCTGGGCTGGCACGAGGCAGGCACACCTTGTCTCTTGCAGCGTGCCCTCCAGGACACTGGGGAGACAACTGCGCCCAGCCCTGCCAGTGCCCCCATGGCGAGACCTGCCGCCCCCAGGATGGGAGCTGTTTCTGCCCTCCAGGCTGGACTGGGCACCTCTGCTTGGAAGGTACCAACAGAAGGGGAGCCCCTGTCCCCAAGTCAGCCCTAACCCAAAGAGGAGACTGCAATGTGTTGACAACCTCTGATCCCTGCCTACCTCCTTGGCTGTCTCCCAGCCTGTTCTCCAGGGATGTTTGGTGCCAACTGCTCCCAGCCATGCCAGTGCGGTTTTGGAGAGAGGTGCCACCCAGAGACGGGGGCCTGTGCGTGTCCCCCAGGACACAGTGGCGCCCCCTGCAAGATTGGTGAGATTTCCTCTAGGCCTTTAATATCCCCAGGGAACCAGGACACGGGTACCTGTCCGGGTCTCTGACAGTATCTAGGTTCCTCATCTACGGGTTTCTCCCATGCATGTCCCCCAAGTTCATCAGCAGAGGCAAGATGCTGTCCTGAATGACTTCCCTACCCACTAGGAAGCCAGGAGCCCTTCACCATGATGCCTACCTTTCCAGTGGCCTATAACTCACTGGGGGCCGTGATTGGCATCGCAGTGCTGGGGTCCCTGGTAGTGGCCCTGGTGGCATTGTTCATTGGCTACCGCCATTGGCAGAAAGGCAAAGAGCACCAACACCTGGCAGTGGCGTACAGCAGTGGGCGGCTGGATGGCTCTGAGTATGTCATGCCAGGTGAGCTGGCCTTGGGGCAGGGGACACATACAAATGACTGGCTCATAGGCACAGGGCTCCTGGGTCTCTCTGGACCCTGGACCCAGAAGATGGGATGTGGAGAGTTGGAGGGAGGAAGGGAAGTCAAAGGGGCTGATTACTGATCTCCTGGGACAGAATGACATTCTAGGGCCCATCCCTGACTCTGCCTGGGTGGGCCACCCTGCGCCTGTATCCATTCTTGCAGATGTTCCTCTGAGCTACAGTCACTACTACTCCAACCCCAGCTACCACACCCTATCACAGTGCTCGCCTAACCCCCCACCCCCTAACAAGGTCAGTGCTGGGGGAGGGGTGCACTGTGGAGCGGAGGGTAAAGACCTACTTCTCTGGAAAGCTCCATTCTTGCTCCTCGCCCATCAGGTTCCAGGCAGTCAGCTCTTTGCCAGCCTCCAGGCCCCCGAGCGGCCAGGTGGGGCCCATGGGCCTGATAACCATACCACCCTGCCTGCTGACTGGAAGCACCGACGGGAAGTCCCTCCAGGGCCTCTGGAAAGGGGTAGGAGCCTGGAGGCCAGGCCTGGAGAGGGGGGTGTGTGCAGCCGGCGTCCTGCTCCCGCTGAGTGTGCATCTGCAGAAGGGTTCTGGGCACCCGTTCCACAGGGGACTGGAGCCTGGATAGGGCACCAGGGGTCTGATTACACGCTGCCTCCTCCTCTTCCACCTCCGCCTCCTCCTCAGGTAGCAGCCACTTGGACCGAAGCTATAGCTGTAGCTACGGCAATAGTACTGGCCCAGGCCCATTCTACGGCAAAGGTATGGGCACAGGGTGGGGGTGCATGAGGGGGCTGAACTGGGGTTGGTTTAGGAGCCGGTGCCTCCCCTGAGCCCAAATTCTTTCTCCTATCCTCAGGGCCCATCTCTGAAGAGGGGCTGGGGGCCAGTGTGGCTTCCCTGAGCAGTGAGAACCCCTACGCCACCATCCGGGACCTGCCCAGCCTGCTGGGGGGCCTGCTGGAGAGCAGCTATGTGGAGATGAAAGGCCCTCCCTCAGGGTCTCCCCCCAGGCAGCCCCCTCAGCTCCGGGACAGCCAGAGTCAGCGGTACCCCCCGCCGCAGAGAGACAGCGGTACTTATGAACAGCCTAGTGCCCTGACCCACGGTGAGCCTCCTGCTCCACTGGGGCCTGGGCTGGGGAGGCAGAAAGGGAGAAGGGACAGAGAAAGCATATGGAGGCAGTATGACGTGGGAGTACGAGCACGGCCTTAAGGGTCAGACTTGGGCTCAGACGAGGCATGACGTTGAGGAAACATCGCCTCGTGGAGCCTGAGTGGTGGTGCCTGCATCACAGGGCTGAGGTTTGAAATGGTGCTTGTGTAGCACCTGACTTGTGGAGTGGGTACCCAGAAAAGTAGGGAACAAGGCAGGTGACAAAGAGTCCTCATGTCCTGTGAGGTGGGCAGGTCCAGGTGGCCGCCCCCAGTGGCAGCCAAGGGGCCGCACAAATGGCCTTATAGCCAGGCTCCAGCCCTGTCTTCAGGCAGAAGAGGCTGGAGAGGGGAGAGTGGTAAGAAGGGGAGGAGCCACCCCCCCCTCATTCTGTCCCTTCTGTCTCCAGACCGAGACTCCGTGGGCTCCCAGCACTCCCAGGCTCTGGGCCCGACCCCCGGCCACTACGACTCACCCAAGAACAGCCACATCCCTGGACACTATGACTTGCCTCCTATACGGCATCCCCCGTCACCCCCACTTAAGCACCGGGACCACTGAGCGGCCAAGATGGTGTGCAGAGGCCGGCACACCTGATCTTGTTGCCTCAGATTGGGGACAGGGCTGGCTGTACCCTGCCAGGAGCAGGGAGAGGGCTGGCAGGCTGTGAACACGAACATGTTTATGAACAAGTTTAATAGAGGAAGTGAATGGAGAGACGGGAGCCTGGCTCCGGGTTCCACACTGGGACACTGGTTGGCAGGAAGCCTGCATTCCCTCTCCTCCACCCACTGCGTACAGACACCGGTGGGTTGAATGTTGCTGGATAACTCTGATTTCATATTGATGTCAAACATGTAGATTGGGCCCTGGCTGGTGTGGTGCGGTGGTTAGAGCATTGGCCCACACACCAAAGGGTCTTGGGTTCGATTCCCAGTTAAGAGCACGTACCTGGGTTGCAGGTTCAATCCCTGCCCCGGGTGGTACATGAGGGAGGCAACCAATCGATGTATCTCTCTCACATCTGTTTCTCTCTCTCTCTTTCTCTCTCCCTCACCCTCTCCCTTCCTCCTTCTCTTCCATTCTCTCTAAAAATCGAGAGAAAAATATCCTCAGGTGAGGATTAACTATAACAACAAAAATGTATATTGGGTACCTTCTCTGTGCACTTCCAGGCTGGGCTCTGTGTATGTGTGTATGTGCGTATGTGTGAGCTGCTGTGTGTGTGTGTGTGCGCGTGCGTGTGTGCTTGCACATGTGGTTTCAGAGGAGTACAAGGCACAGGCCCTGTCCTATGATGCTCACCATTCTAACTGTCCCCCTGCATTCACTTGGTACCCCTTGCAACCAACTGCTAGGTTGCCCCTGCCTGAGAGTCTTCATGGGTGCCCCCCTGCTCCTGGGCCAGAGTCAAACTGTCCAAAGTCTTAATTAAAGGCTCTGTTGACTGGCCTATCTGTGTCTTCAGCCTCACCTTGAACTGTGCTCACTGTCACTCTGCTTCTGTAACACTGGCTTCTAGGTCCTCCTATCAGCCACTCTTCTTACTGCCACAGGGACTTGGCACATCTGCAATGCTCTTCCTCCCCCACTCACCAGTTAACTTCTCCGTCTTGCACATCCCCTCCTCTGGGAAGCAGCTCTCTTCACTAGCACTGATCACAGCTGCATTCATTCAGTAGATGCCTGCGGAAGGCCTGCAGGATACGAGGCACCTCTGTAATGTGTTGTTTCTCTATGTGATTCTTTGATTAATTTCTGCTTCCCCCATCAGACTGTAAGTCCCCTGAAGGCAGGAGTCCTGTGTTTATGCTCAACAATGGTTCCCCTTGGCACACAGTAAGAACTCAATAAATGTTCCCTAAAAGACTCAGTGGCTGAGTGAATTAAAAGTACCAGTGGCACTATGGTCCATGCTCAGACAGATGGGCAAATTGCATGCTCTGAGAGCTCACAGACTGCACAGGTGGGAGCCTTCCCCCAAGACTGGCATTTCCACAGGGGAACAGCTCCAAGGCTGAAGGGTGGGGAGGGCTGGCAGGGGCACTGGGGCCGTGGAACCCAGTGGGGTGTGGGGGCTGGAGGCAGGAAGGCAGACTGGAGAAGGTATACTCAAATACTGAGGGTCTGGACTACCTGAGGACTTCGAATTCAAGATTTGGAAAAAGCACTACCAGATTCATGATCTCATTAGCAGATGAACTAAGCCCCCAGACCTGGAGGAGGCCAGATAGGTGCAGCTGAGAATAGGAGCCTAGCCCGACACCCACTCACTGCGGGTCTCTCTGAGCCTCTCCCACCAGAATCCCTGTCCTTACAGGCTAGGGGAGCGGCCCCAGAGGATCTGCCCCACCCGGACGCTCCCTAGATTCCGGACTCGCCATCCCCATAGGCCGAACCAACTCTCCGCTTTCTTAGTTTCCTGGGGGACTTTGGGTGGCAAGATGCCGGCCTTAGCCCCCACCCCTCGTCCGGGTCTTGTCGAGCCCTGTCCCCTTCACCCCAGCCCCGCCTGGGTCTTGCGGGGAGCCTCGGCTCGCTCCCTTCCCAAGGGGTTCGCTGGGCCGGCCCCTCCAGGGCTCCCCCCGCCCCTCCACCCCCACCCCGTGACGTTGGAGGGCCCCCGTCCTGCGGCTCCACCCGGTCCCCACCCCCTCGCCCGCGGCTCCGCCCCCACCCCTGCCACGAGTCGGCGACGCCCCCTGTCGGCCGCGTGCGCCCTGCGGTTGCCCCCTTTCCGCGGGCCAGCCCGGCCAGTGTCGTTGTCGTGGAGAGGGACGCGGAGGCGACGCCGCTGCGGACACACCAGGCTGGTGGACGCGGAACAGAGGCCCCTGAATTGGCCAGCGCCTGCAGAATCACCACTCGTCCTGCCTGCTCGCCCCGGTGAGGGTCCCCAGAGTCACTGCGGACAGCACCGACATGTCTGGCGAGGCGAGCGCGACGGGAGCGTCCCCCAGGGTCCCGCGTCCCGGGACCCAGAAGTCGTCCGGCTCAGTGACCAAGAAGGGGGATCGCGGGGCCAAGGAGAAGCCCGCGGCAGTGCTGCCGCCAGTGGGCGAGGAGGAGCCCAAAAATCCTGGTACGCTGGCGGCAGGGTTGGGGGATCAGGCCTGGAGGCTTTGAGGCTATGTGTGCTGCCACCGTCCCCTGTGGCTCGGTTTAGCCCGGCTGGATGGTGCGCTGTCGTCGTGCCAGGCACTGCGCTGGACGCGGGGAAGGACGCTCTGGCGGCGGGTCGGAGGAGCCAGAAGATAACAACGGAATGTCCGGTGCAACAAGTGCTGTATGCAAAGGGCTCCACCTGCTGAAGTGCAGGTGTGAGCGTAGAGCTCCCGCCGTGATAAGACTGTTGTAAGTGGTAACTATTATTAGTGTGTGGCCTCGGGCATGTTCTCTGCAGGATGGAAGTGTGAGTCACGCCCTGCCTATAGAGGGGAGGCATGATGGAGTTGATGATGGAAAAGAGTTTTGTAAACTGCAAATTCGTTTGTTTATTCAACAAGCATACATGGTGCACCCACTGTGTGCCTGGCTCGCTGCCCCATCTAGAGATAGGAATCCCAGTTTGACTCACATCACAGTTCCCAAATCTCAGCTTGGCAGATGTATGTACTGAATGGATCATAAAGAACCCATTCTGCCCTGGCCGGTTTGGCTCAGCGGTTAGAGCGTCGGCCTGCGGTCCAGAGAGACCCGGGTTCGGTTCCCGCTAAGGGCAGTACTTTGGTTGCAGTTTGTCCCCGGCCCTGGTCGGTCGTGCGTGTGGCAGCCACTCGATGTGTCTCTTTCACGTCGATGTTTCTCTCTCTCTCTCTCTCCCTCCCACTCTACCTGAACAAAAAAAAAAATGGAAAAATGTCCTCGGGTGAGGATAAAAAAAAAAAAAAGAACCCATTCTGCTTTGGGATGCTGACAAACACAATACGATATGATGAGATGTATGAGAAAAGAAAGACCAGGGAATGATGGGACATGAGGGGGAGTGGCTACCAGTAGGTGCGGCTCTTCCTCCAGGTACAATGCAGGGAGAACAAGACAGGCACATCCTGCATGCATGGAATTATATTCTCTAGAAAAAGAAAACCATGAGAAGAGTGTAAGTAGGAGTGTGGCTCTGTGTGTTTCAAGTGATAGAATCCCAACCCAACTACTTATCCACAAAGAGGAATTAATGGAAGGCTTCTTGATTCATAGCCACCAGCTTTGCAATCAGAGAGGGACAGGAATTTGCTATTCCTGGACTTTCCGTAAAACACATTGAGAAAAGGGTGTCAGACCTTGGTCAGGTGTCATCTCTTTGTCAGCTGGTGGCTGACAGGAGGGAACTATAAGAGCTGCAGAAAGAGCATTTTCCAGAAGGAGAGAGAGGAAAGAACCCAGTTACTTAAACACACATGCGCGCGCGCACACACACACACACACACACACGCACACACCATTCTGTATGGGGAATGGAGTGGAAGGGGGAGAGAATGGAGGCAGAGAGATGGGTTACGAGATATTTCAACAGTCCATGTGAGGGACAGTGGTAGTTGGAATAGGGTATGAGGGAGAATGGGTTAGTTTTCTTGCAGAAATACTTCAGCGTGTGTAGTAGTAGTAAAGGTAGTAGTAAAAATTGGTATAGTACCGGGAGGGGTGGAGAGTGAGGAACATAGCAAGAATGAATCTCAAGTTTGGGGACTGGGAACTGGGGAGATGGAGATGCTATTCATGGAGATAGGAAAGGCCCAAGGAAGGGAGGACCTCCAAGGACTGATGTCAGCTGGGCAGCTGGACATATGGGCCTGGAGTGCTGAAGAGAGGTCAGGGTTGGAGATGTGACTTTGGGAACTGCGTTTGGATGTTTTGAAGCCCTGGGAATGAAAGTGATTCTGTTGGGGGTGGGGGAGAGGAGGAGAGGTCTCGGTATTAGGGATCTTAAAGGAGGAGGAACTGCAGGGGAGACTGCTTAGCCTCAGGCAGAGAGGTAGGAGAGAGTGGGAGTGATAACTGGGACCCTGGACAGGGCAGTTCAGAAGTCATGGTGGCTTTAGCAGGGCCGATATGTGGGGTGAAAACGGGCAGATGTAGGAAGGTTTATAGATGTAGGGGAAATCCCATCTGGTGGCTTTTACATTGCAAGAAACTATGAGACAAGGTCTTCGGTGATCCTGGGGAGGAGTATGGGATTGGAGGGCAGGAGTTAGCTCCAAGCACTTCCCACAAGGTCACAGGCACAGAGCATTTCCAGTGTCACAGTAAGTTCTTCTGGGCAGCGCTGTGCTAGAGCAGGCTCTCAAGGTGCTGTGCTTGGACCGGCAGGCACCTTTGGCAGTATCTGTGAGCTTGTTAGAAATGCAAATTAATGGACTCTACCCTATGGAGTCAGAAAATCTGCAGATGGGGCCCAAGAAACTGTTTTAACAGGCTCTCTTGATAATGCTTAGTTTGAGAATCTCTGTTGTAGAGGAAGGTGGAGTGAAGGAAGCAAGGAAGGGTTGAGGGCTCTCCCAGCAGAGGAAACAGCCCAGGAAAGCAAGGGGCGTACAGGAGTCAGCTGGACAAGGGGTACCTGTGCCTCCTCTCACCCGAATGTTTCTTGTGTGTTTGTGTCCCCCAATGGCTGGGCATATGAGGAACATGTGCCTTACCCCGTTTCTGCAGCCCCCCTCCCCCAGTCTGTCACACCTTGAGGCAGACTCCTGCTGTTAGCTGCAGGAATTCTCTCTGGGCGCAACCCCTGCAGCACCTGCCTTTGTCCTGGGTCTCGTTGCGGTGGGGGCTCCAGGCCCTGGGCACTTGGAAGAGCAGGCTGGCACCAAGCCAGCCCTCTGCCTCCAGGTTCTCCCATTCGCCAGGGGCACCCTTCCTAGCTTCAGGAAACACTTCTTCCTGGGTGCCCTTGGGGGAGCAGGAAAAAGCAGGGTCTCTGGGACTCAACACCTCAGGTTTGAGTTGTGGGCTTCGCTGGGCATTTGTCTGAATCCATACAATGCTTGAATGAGTTAATATTTCTAAAGAGTTTAACAGTGCGGGACAGGAGTAAGTGCTGTAGCAATGTTTGCTGTACAAATGGAAGTCTGCCGCTCTGTGGGACCTCATGGAGTGTGGGCTCTGAGTGGGAGTGAGGATATTCCTGAGTTGTTCCTTCTTTGCTCACATCAGGCCTGGGGCTTCTTTCTCCCTGTGATCCTGGGCAGCCCCCGCAGAGAAGGGACAAGGGAGAGGGCTGGGCTAGGACACCCTGTGGCAGACGGAGGGCCCCTAGGGAGCCGGAGCCAGTGGAGGCGCCTGGCTGGACTGGGTGGGTGGAGGGGCCAGCACCCGTCCACTCCTTCCAGTGCATCTTACACTTTAAAAGTCGGTAAGAGGCGTCCCGAGGCCAAGCCCCGCGGGCTCCGTCTCCCCCTCGCCCGCAGAGGAGTACCAGTGCACCGGAGCCCTGGAGATCGACTTCCCCGAGCTCTGCTCCCGGTTGGGCTACACGGACTTCCCCAAAGTCGTCACCCGGCCCCGCCCGCACTCGACCTTTGTCCTGTCGTCCTCTTTGTCAGAAAAGCCCAACCCTGGTGAGTGACAGTGGAGCCCCGGGGTGCCCGCCAGGGCTACCCCTCCGTCCCCAGGCCCCCATCGCAGGGCCCAATGGCAGGGGGACGCAGGGCAGGGTGTAAGGAGGCCGGTGGGAAGGTAGGGGAGTCTCCTGTCTTCCCCTCCAAAGCCCAGCCTGGCCCCAGGGGCGGCGCCCGGCCAGCGTCTCCCACACCTCTGAGCCCTACAGTCCTGGGGCCCCGTGGGCCGGCACCTCCCTCCTCATGGTCTCCTTGCGCCCACCTCCCAGACGATCAGCGGCTGTCGGGTTCCTGCAGCCTCAACAGCCTGGAGAGCAAGTACGTGTTCTTCCGGCCCACGGTGCAGGTGGAGCTGGAGTCCGAGGACAAGTCGGTGAAGGAAATCTACATCCGCGGTGGGCCCCCCTCCTCCCCTCCCCCGCGCCCCGCGCCAGCCCCTGCTCGGCCCGAGCCACCTTCTTCCTCTCCCTTCCTAGGCTGGAAGGTGGAGGAGAGGATCCTGGGCATCTTCTCTAAATGTCTGCCCCCCCTCAGCCAGCTGCAGGCTATCAAGTGAGGGGGCAGAGGGGGGAAGGGCTGATGTGGGGGATGGCTCCCGAGAAAGAACTGAAGGGACTGGAAGATGCGGGAGGTGGAGAGGTGCGGACCTGAGGAAGGGCGCAGCTGGAGACAGCGCGGGGGAGGAGGTGATGCTCCAGCGGTGTCCCTGCGCCTTCCCCCAACAGCTTGTGGAAGGTGGGGCTGACTGATAAGACCCTGGCCACGTTCATCGCCCTCCTGCCTCTCTGCTCGTCCACACTCAGGTCAGCAGAGGGGAACAGGCAAGTGGGGAGGCCCCAGTGCCTGGTAGTCGCCTGGGTGGGGGTCAGAGGGAGCTTCTGGGGAGTGGAGTGGCAAGTCCCAGCTCCTATGGGCCTGGCTGGCAACCCTGTGGATAGGGTGCAGCTGGCAGCTGCTGGGTTGGGAAGCTCCCATCTGACAACAAGCAGAGTCCCTTGCTGCCTGCACCAGAGCAGAAAGAGCCTGACCTTTGAGGGCTCCCCCCTCTCCTCCCCATTAGTCCCACCGCCACTCCCTCCCTGGAGGTTTTCCTCCTGTTTCTGGATACCTGGGGCCTGACCCGGTTCTAGGGGCTGGTTCTTATCCTCCAGGACCTGGAGTCCAGGGAGGGAGGGAGAAGGGTTAGGAATAAATACTGCAGGGCAGCGTTTGGACTGTGGTGGTGAAAGAGGTTCATGGCGGGAGGGGGGGGGGCAGAGAATAGTGCTGCCTCTTGGGTGTGGGCAGGGTGATGCAGAGGGCTGCTTGGAGGAGGAGGTGTGGAGCTGAGCCTTGAAGGAGGAATAGGAGGGGGTCAGGCAGGGAACTGGGGAAGGAGGCAACAGGAGTAAGATGTGAAATAGTGTAACTACAGGTGTGGTTTGCTGAATAAGGACTCAACTGACTTGCGCTCCTTCATCGATGACCCTCAGCACCCTTGACTTCTCTTGCTTCACAGAACGTGCCCTCAGTTTTACACACTGGCTTGCCCGGCGTCCTCCAAGGACAGGACAGACCCTTCTTGCAGGCAGGGATTGTGTCTGCCTCAGCTGGAGGTCCTCAGCACTCTGTGTAGAGACTACCATGAAACATATTGTTTTATTCGCATGGGAATTAGACAAATCAGCCAGCAGAAAAATAACTAGAGAATTTATTTTAATATATGCAAAAATAAGTTAGATCGACATAATAAAAATAATTTAAAATGGATGTAATCAGGTTTAGAGGAAAGATGAGCCAGGCTGAAAGGTTGAGCAATGAGAATAAATCCTGGGAGAACATTTTTAAGTAGGGAAATTTCTAGCCATCAGCTCAATGTTTGTCGTGACTGGGAAAAGTCCTGTTCTCTCAGCACTGTCGGAGAAGCCACTGCCTGGTGGACAGGTCATATAGCCGTTCCGTGTTGCTGCGGAACAAATCACCGCGGAACCTAGCAGCTTACAACAACAAGCATTACCTCACCGTTTCTGTAAATGAATCTGGATGCAGGTTAGCAGGTGCTTCCTGCTCAGGGTACTGCCTGCTGACAGGTGCAGTGTGTCCACACACGAGCCCTTCCATAGGCAGTGGGTGGCCTCACCACATGGCAGCTCATGGTGGTCCAGAGAGTGCCAGAGAGCACCCAAGAGCGAGGCCACAGGCTTTTTGTAAGCTGAACTTGGAAGTGACATCCCGTCACTTTTGTCGCATTCCATTCATCAGATGTGAGTCACTAGGTCCAGCCACACTCAAGGGGAGGGTATTACACAAGGACATAGACACTAAGAAGTGGGGATCCTTGGGGTCATTCTAGAGGCCACCTAACCACAGGTCACTAGTTCTGGGGAGTGATCCCTTCACATGGCCATACTTCTGGGTTTGTAGTCTGGAGAACAAAATATAATTTAGTTCTCATATCATTGAAAATCCTCATATAATTTCTTAAATTGGGATCCATCCTTCGAGGCTGTTTTCAAGCTGCTCCTCAGAGCCCCACACTGCCTCTCTGTCCCCTCCTTCGCCTGGCCTCAGAGCTGGTCCCTGGTTCTCAGATCAACCCCACCCTCAGGAAGGTGTCTCTGGAGGGGAACCCACTGCCGGAGCAGTCATATCACAAGCTCATGGCCCTGGACAGCACGTGAGACTCCTTTCCACCACCCCCTTTCTCTGGGTCTGACCCCATTCCAAGTCATCCCTAGTCCTCACCCTTCTTTGCCCTTGTGGCCCCCCCACCACCAGGCACCCTCAATTCCTTCCCCACCAACCTCAGACCCGATGGCTCTTCTCATGCCTCCAAGTTCCCTGAAATTTCAGTGCACACCCAGGACCTGGTGTTTCCAGTGACAGTCATTCCCCTTCCTCTGCCCAGGATCATGCACTTGTCTCTGCGGAACAACAACATCGATGACCACGGGGCACAGCTCTTGGGCCAGGCTCTGTCCACGCTGCATAGCTGCAACCGGACCCTGGTCTCTCTCAACCTGGGCTTCAACCACATCGGGGACGAGGGCGCAGGCTACATCGCCGATGTGCGAGCCTGGGCGGCGGGGAGGGACCCGAGGAGCATGGGCGCCAGGGTCCGATGGCTCACGCTCCTCTCCGGCCCTCAGGGCCTGCGGCTGAACCGCTCCCTGCTCTGGCTGTCCCTGGCCCACAACCGCATCCGGGACAAGGGCGCCCTGAAGCTAGCCGAGGTGGGTGTGCCAACTGGGCGGGGTGGGTGAGTGGACCCTGCCCGCCTCTGACGGCGGTGCCCCCGGCCCAGGTCCTGCGGCCGTTTGAGCTGACGCACACCGAGGTGGTGGAGCGCCGGCGCCTCCTGCTGGAAAAGGGCACCCAGGAGCGCATGCGGTCGGTGAGCGGCGCCCCAGCCTCGTCCCAGGCCAGCTGTGTGTCAGCGGAGACACAGCTGTCCGTTCCCAGTCTGTCTTCTGTCCGGACTGTGCTGCTGTCCGGCTTCTGCACGGGCCGCCAAACGTTTGGGCTCTCACTGCAGTGCCCCTCCGCGGCAGGAGAATGTATTGGTTGAGAGGAAGGAGTAGATTTAGACTGCTAGGCCTTGAAACGCCTTGAGACATAACAGCTTGTGACCTTGGCATGTTACTCATAGGGTCGTTGAGAGGACTAAATGATTTAGTGCATGTTAAGCACTGAGCCCCTTCTCCCACCCACCATCCCAGCTCCTCCCCAGGTCCCTTTGCCATTTCCTCCCAGCCAGCACCCTCCCCCCTCCCAGAAGTCCGAAACGCATTACTTTAGCATTTCGGCAGACAGGTGCGGGTGGGGTGCTGCCCGTCGGACTGCCACCCAGGCACACGGCTTCCCTTTACCCCTCCCTGGGGAGGCGCACTGGTCTGCCTCCATTTCCTCCCATTTGTGAGCACAGCCCTCCTCCTCTCGCTACGGGGATCCCAGAACAGAACGTGAGAAGAGTCAGATGATGGGAGCCAGCAGCATTGCACTGGTGGACAGGGCAGACAAGATGCAGACGATGAAGACCCCTAAGGGCCTGGGCAAGAAAAAGGAGAAGTCAGGGGTAGGTTTGCTGTGGGCCAGAGAGCCTTGGGGGAGGAGCAGGAGGAATCGCCCGTCCCTGGTTCACAGGTGGAGGGGGAAGGGGTTTTCAAAGGCCCACTTCAGGCCCCAGGTCCCAACACTGGCCTCTTCCCAACCTGCTCCCCGTCCCCCAGGGAGGGAGGACTTGAATTTGTCTTCTTATACCCTCCACAGGAAGTGGTGAAGAAAGAGGAGAAGTCGGGGTCTGGACAGTCACCCATACAAGGAACCCCAAAGAAGGAAGACCCCACAAAGGCAGGCAAAGGGAGTAAGTGCTAGACCCCTCTTCAGCACCTTCTTGGTTTGGAGGAGGAGCGCGGGGCAGGATGCAGGAGCTGGTCTGGGCACATCCCTCTCTGTTTCCCTTGGGGAGATGATGTGGAAAGCCCCACCTGGCCCCGTACCCTGACCACTGCACCCACACTTGTTTCCCTGGGCTCCACTCCTGCCGCCCTGCCCTCGGAAGAGGACCCTCCCTTCCAGCTGGGGTCCTCTCCAGCTCTGTTTCTGTTGCACCCAAACCCAGTTCGAAGAGTCGCCTTCCTTGCCCAGCCCTTCTGTCTGGGGGGCCTGGGTGGTAGCAAAGGTCTGCACTGCGCATTCTGACTCCTCTTCCTGCTCCAGAGGTGACCATCCCGGAGCAGAAACCAACCAAGGGAAAAGGGCCCAAGTCTGGGAGCAAAGAGAAGCGCAGCATCCTCCTGGAGTCAGAGGTAGGCCACAGGGGCAGGGGGTGTGGGCAGCGTGTCCCCATGTCTCCTGGAATGTCGTCTTCAGCCCTGTACTGTGGCAGCAGCCACTTCAGTTCACGCTTTGTCCTTCACTCCTGCCCCAACCACGTCTGATACACCCCCTTGCCCGGGCTTGCTGGGGAAAACAGCGTGCCCCTTTCCCCTTCAGGCTTGAGGAGCCACCTCTTTTTTCCTGCTTATTAGGAGATCACACTCTTGATCCTGTCTCAACTCAATTTGCTTCCCAAAAGGCCACTGACTTACCATCACCACCTCCACCATTTGCTGGTATAGCTGCCCTGGGAACAGTGCCCCTCTCAGCAGCTCCCAGGAAGGCAGGGCATTTCGGAGTCACGGTGCTGCCCCACCCTGTGCGAGGCTCTGTCAGAACCTCCTCTCTCCTTTGACCTGGAGCATCTCTTTCCCTTTCAACTTGGACCAGTGTGTTCCTTGCTTCCTGGACTGACCACCATAGCTCCCACCCATGCCAGCTGTCCAGCTGCCCGAGAGACCTCCCTGCTCCCTTTTTAGGAGTCCTCTCTGGCACCCAAGACAAGACCTTACAAGAGGACAGTCAGGTAGAGCAAGGGGGTGAGGCTGCCTCTCAGTCCATGGTCCTGTCCGTTTTTTTCTTTGTTAATCTTCGCCCGAGGATATTTTTCCATTAATTCTTAAATCGAGTGGGAGGGAGGGGCAGAGAGAGAGGGAAACATCGATGTGAGAGAGACACATTGATTGGCTGCCTCCTGCACGACTCTGATCAGGGATTGAACCTGCAACCCAGGTATGTGCCCTTGACTGGGAATCGAACCCACAACCCTTTGGTCTTCGGGCAGACGCTCTAACATCTGAGCCAAACTGGCCAGGGCCTGTCTTGATCTAGGTTGAGGTTTCTCACTAGGACTATGTCACTTTCTCCTCATCCTCCCTTCGTCCATCCGTCCAATCACTGCCCTCGGTGCTCTAGCCCTTAGGAAACAGTAAAACCCGAGAGCAACATATTGTTTTGGGCCTCTGACCACCACCCGTTTCCTTTGCCTGGGACACCTTTCCTCTCATCTACTGCATACTATTCAAACCAGCTCACGGGCCACAACCTGTGGGAGACGGGCCTAGGTGTCCCTCCTCTGTGCTCCTATAGTACCGAGCTGACCTCTGCCACTTGTCACACATACCGATGACCGGTTCACTTCCTGCCCCTCACCTTGCTTAAGGATATGGGCATATTTATTTTTGTACCCCAGCACCTAGGACAAAGCCTCCAAACATGTATGTTGAACGAATGAATGCGGGCCCGTTGACCAGCCTCTCCTCTGCTGCAGCTAGTGTTCTGCTTTGGCAGCTGATTGCGGAAGCCACAGAGATGGTCAACCCTCTCTTGGAGCCAGTGGAACACCGGGATGGGAAAGTTTTCCTGGCTGGGAACAAGGTCCTTCTGCACCTCAACCTCCTCCGTACGTGTGCCGACCACCGCTGCCCTCCTGCCACCAGGCTGCTTGGGCCCCATGCTGCCCCAGGGATGCCCCCACCCTGACTCCACAGAGCAGAACTCGAACCCGCGGCTGGGCACCATGCTGTCAGAGGCCCCGATGAGAGGAAGTCAGGTCCTGGGTCGGGCAACTGAGAGTAGTGAGTGAGAGGGAGAAATGGGGGTGGGAAAAGAAAGGCTGAGGGAAGTCGGAGGAGTCAGAGAAGTGAAGGAGAGTCAGCTACAGGGCCAGGGCAGGAGTGCGTGGTGGGTGGTGAGCTGGGAGGGGGGTGTGGAGTGAGGCCCAGGGAGTCCTGCGCGCAGTGTAAGGGGCTGGGTGCTCCCTCCACCAGGAAACCGCATCACGGAGGTGGGGCTGGAGGGCTTCTTCATGGCCGTGCAGTACCAGGTGCAGTTCCCCAAGGCCAAGAGTGCGTCCAAGGGCCCCGTGGGGCTGCTGTGGCTGTCTCTGGAGGTGAGTCCACCACTGTCCTGGGCAGCTTCTGTGCCTCCCTAGTTCCAGGGCAGGTCTGTAGTTTCCCTAGATCTTTTGTTTAAATGTTTTTATTGATTTTTTAGAGAGAGAGAGAGAGAAACATTGATGTAAGAGAGAAGCATCGGATCGGCTGCCTCCTGCACGTCCCCACTGGGGATCGAGCTGGCACCATGGGACGGCGCACAATTCAGAGCCACACCAGCCGGATTTTTTTTTTTTTAAAGTACGTTTTTATTGATTTTTTAAAATTTTTTTAAGAGGAAGGGAGAGAGATTAAGAAGCACCGTTGCCTCCCATACAAACCCACAAGCTGGGCATGTGCCTTGACTGGGAGTCCAGCTGGGGACCTTGTGGTGCACAGGACACCCAGCCCTGAGCCACGGCGGCCAGGGCCCGAGTTCTTCATCGCAACACGCTCCATCTATTTCAGTGCAAGACTGGCAGTCATTCTCACTCGGCCTTTGTCCCCCTCCCAGCCCCTACACATCCTGTCCCAGGACATTTTTCTTCCTGAGAACTCATTTCCACCCCTTTGCCCGTCGTCAGCCTTCCTTTTCCTCCTCCAGAAAAACTGCTTCTCCCCACAATGTCCTATGTACACCATGATCCAGGAACTGATGCTGCCAAGGGACCCCATCAGCAAGGCCAAGCCCAGAGAGGAGGAGGCCATGGCTTTCTCCACCTAGCCCCTCCCTGCTCCCCACGGACACATCTCCTGTCCGTGTGTGGGCTGACCTCCCAGGGGAGAGCTCGGATCTTTAACAAAGTCAACTGCTGTATCCCCCCCCGCGGAAGTTGTCTGAAAAACTTTGTTCTGGAGCTACTTGGAACATCTGGACTGAGTCTGTTCATGCAAAATGGCCAGGAATGGCTGAACGAACCACGGAAGCTATGCCGGGCCCTTGCCCTCCTCCCTCTGAGGGCCTAGTTCTTACTCGCTCAGGCCAGTCACTCTCTCCTGTTTCCTAGAGGACATGTGCCTTCAGATGTCCTTGAACCAGGGACACCCAGAGGGTGTGGGGGCCAGAGTCAGGAGAGCTGGGGGCCCAGTGTGGCCTCCCCTGAGACCTACTGACCAGGCCCAGAGTACACAGGGCTGGCTTCTGGGGAGCCAGTATCCACTTTACAGGGAGCTTCCAGAGGTGTCCCTTCTTCATGTCAGAGATTTAACCCGGTCCATCCCTTCATTCTGTTGCATCTACAAGAGTCCTGCTCTCTGCCAAGAAACTCTTGGCGAGGCTCAGCGGCTCTCCCAGGCTCCTCTGCCTCTGGGCAGCTGGCTGAGTGGCAGGGAAACGCCATCAGCATTTTCGATTCTCAACACTGAGCACATTACAGGTGCTTGGCGAGGATTAGCGGCCTCAGCTTCTCGTTATTCCTGCCCGAGTCCCTCTCGAGTAAGGTTTCTGTGCACCTGTACAGCCCCCATTCCATCCCTACCCTGTCACCAAGGGCATAGGTATTAATGCTCATGCCCAACTAGACCATAAGCTCGCGAGGCCAGCATGCAGCATTACGCTAGGTCTAGGAGGGAGAATATTAGCTAGGGCTGAAAGAGAATTTATCCAACAGTGAAGGCAAAGAGACAGTGGAGATGTGGATGGCTACACTCCGAGGATGTGGCTGTGTCAGTGCTGGCTGGGAGCCTACAGGAGGCAGAGCACAAAGGGGACCCTCCCCTCATGTCTGCCTTTAAAGTCCTAAAGCTCAGCCCTGGCCGGTTTGGCTCAGCGGTTAGAGCGTCGGCCCGTGGACAAGATAGTCCCGGGTTTGGTTCCCACTAGGGGCTCGTACCTCGGTTGCGATTTGTCCTTAGCCCTGGTTGGGGTCGTGTGGGTGGCAACCAGTCTCTCTCTCATGTCAATGTTTTTCTTTCTCTCTCCTTCCCTCCCTCCTGCTCTATCTGAAGATAAATGCAAAAAATGTCCTCGGGTGAGGATAAAAAAACCAAAAAACTAAAGCCCTGAAGCTCAGAAGGCAGCTCACGAGGGCTCGTGACTCAGGGTCCACTGCTCCTGCGTACAGACGTGTGCGTGAGTGTGCATGTGTGCGTGCGTGTTCAAATTCAGTGGGTTAGGTGTCTTTGTGTTTTGGCCATGGAGCTGTATAACTTAGTGTGCCCATCTGTAGTTTAGTGAGCACACATCGGGAGCTCTGGGAGAGAATACGACACGACCCAGATCTGGGGACTCGATGGCGGGGTGAGGGGACTTCCCTTTGTTCTTCTATCCAGTTCTAACTAGTCTCAGGGGAACCACCACGTGTCTTTTATCACAGCAGTTCCAAGAATCACACGCACACCATTACAGTTGAAGAATAGCTTTTCTTAAAAAAAAACAAAAAAAAAACTTAACCATGAAAGGAAGACAATAAAAGAGTATACATTATTTGAACAGCAAAACAGTCATTTCCATATCTATATTTTATATATTATATATATATTTATATATATGTATATATACACCTAGCACAGTGTGTATATGTTAGTCAGCGGAGGAGCGCAGTGGACATGGGGCGGCCCGATGCTGCAGTGGCCCCTGGGGATGGTCCTGGGTAATTTTGGGACTCCAGCATTCAAAGCCCCTCCTCCTGGGGCCCACCCAGTGTTTAGCTCTGTACCTGACACACTGGTTTCCTGTAGGCAAAGTGTGGGGAAGGGGGGACACAGGTAGGGTAAGAAATTCCCCTGGTGAGAAGTCCTAGTAGGGAGGGAGTAGCTGGCCCCGAGCCGCAGACACCGGGCTCCCGTGACAGCTGGGCCCACAGGGGCCTGGGACACTCAGGGCTGGCTCAACCTCCAGGCCCTGATCCTGGAGCTGGGTGACAACCAGGAGATGCAAGGGAGCCTCCTCTTCCCTTAGCAGGGGCTTCTGCAGCCGCCCCAAGCACTCCAGGAGCAGGAGCAAAAAAGGTCAAAGTCATTTCCAACAGCTAAGATGCACGTACAATACACACATATTCATAGGAACCGAGTGACAGGGGAGGGAGGGGTGCGCCCTAGCCTCGGGCCTGTGAAGAAAGGGAGGGGAAGAAGAAAGTGCATTTACACAGAAGCCTTCCCCCTTCACTTGCATGTCTGAGGCACCCACGAGCGCCAGTGGGCACGCCTATGTGGGACGGGGGCCTTGCGGATGCAGCCGGCACGTGCAGGAGACCGAGGAGACCAGCAGCCGTGGAGGGTGGACTGAAGGGAGGGAAGACACTGAGCCTGGGCTCCCAAGCAACATGCGGGTCTCCCTCGGCCAATCCGTCTCCTTAACTGCCTGTACCACAGAGGAGGCCTGGGTGTCCCCACCCTGTGCCCAGCCTCAGGCCAGTCCCTAGTGGAGGAGTGGGATGCAGAGGACTCGGTGGTAGGGACAGTCACAGTCCTGGGGCTGGGGCTGCGTCCGCCATGCTGTCCTCCAGGGGGCTGCTGGCGCCTGTGCAGGGTGCAGTGACGCCCGTGAGGGCCAGGCCTGAGATAACCCTCCCTTACGCTTTGCCTGGAAAGTCTCCAGCTCAGAGGGAGAAATGAGACCCCCTCAAACTCCCTCTTCCTCTTCACACTGCATGGCAGCGTCCCCGCACTACCAGGAGGCTCTCTCCCCAGGGCTGGTACAAGGAGGGGACCGGCTTCACTCACTGTCCTCGGGGCAGGGCCCCAGTTCGTGGCTGTCCCTGGAGTCAGAGGACGGGGGTTCCTTCACTGGAGGTGACAGGGAGCTGTCTGTCCATCTAGCCGCTTCTGTATGGGAACCGCCCACAGGTGTGGTGCCACCAGAAGACGCTCCCTCCAGCGACCTGAGCAGCTCTCTGTGGGCCAGCTCCATGTCCTAGAAGAGCGCAGGGCGTGTCCTGGTCATAAGGCCTGGGGAAGGCTGTGCCTCAGGGTGGCTGAGGGGAGGACCCTGGGCCAGGCCAACATCTAGTGGTCCTATGGACACACACCACTGGTCCAGATCCCTTCACGAACTTTGCTACCAGGCCAGTGCCCCCCCCCCCCCAACCCATGACTGAGAACAGGCTTCTTACCCTAATACCTTGGGGACCTGAGCCCCATTTTCCTCACCTTGAGCCTGTTGAGCTTGAGGGTGAGCTGCTCGATGGTGCGGAAGACTGGGCCCATGTCCCTGAAGGCCAGGCTGGGAGGGGAGCAGCTGGGGCGCCTGTGATCTCCACGGCCGCCCTGCAGCGGGGGCTGAGGCTCTGCCTGCCAGGCAGGGAGGCCGCCAGGCTGAGAGAGGTCCGCAGGTGCCCCTGAGGAGTCGGTGCTGGAGTCCAGGGGTCCTGCTGGCATGCTGACATAAAAACAGTTTCCTGTCCCCATGGCAAAAGAAAGACATTAGGAGGCCAACGCAGAGGAAGTGGAAGCCATCTTCTGCTCCTGCGGTGGCCTGTGCTGACTGGGCCCAGGGAGCCATCCTGCAGATGAGCTCGGAGCATGCTGGCCGCCACCTGCTGCTCTCCTAACGCCCCTCCTCCAGAGGGCCTTCCAGAGGGCATGAGCTTCCTGTGCCCCACGCCAGGGGAAGATGCTCAGTGTGGAAGCTAAGGAGAAGCGGCAGGGCTGTGTGTTTCTGTGGGAGAGGGAGAGGGGCTCCCACTCCATGAAGGAAGGGTAAAGGCGGTGGCTGGTTTTAGGAACCTTTGGAAGCCACGGGCGTAGCCTCCTTCACTCTGCCCCATCTCAAACTCAGCTGAGCTTCAGTGCGGCCCCCACCCCAACTGCCATCTAGCTCACAGTCCTGGAGACACCTGGACTCCTTCACAGGAGGCAGACAGCTGGAGGAAGGGCGCAGAGGGTCCCTGACAGGGCAGGAAGCACAGGAGGAACCGTGGAGGGCAGGTAAGCCTGTTTCCGCAGAGACGCGAGTGGTGGCCGGCGTGGGAGGCGTGGGAGGCGTGGGAAGCGCCTTGTAATGTCAGGCTGAGGCCAGGCTCCCCGCCCACCTCGCCACTGAACACAAGCTGTTTACCCTGCTGCTCTGAAAGGGGCCTGGTCAGCTCCAGACAAGGGGGTGGCACGAGGCTGGTGCCCGTCTGGGCCCACACGCAGGGCTCTGATGCACAAGGCCCGGCTCTGCCCTCCGGACCCACTGGGCCTGGCCTGTCTCTGGCTCCCAGGAGGGGTTCATTACCCGTAGCCTTTGCTCCGCCTTCCACTTCAGGTGGCCCAGGCTCTGACTGGCCACTCTCTGGTAGTGCAGGGACAGCCTTACTGCCTGCCACCTCAGCTGCACCGACACCACCACCACCAGGGAGAGCAGAGACCAAAAGAGAAGGGGAGGGAAGGAGAGCAGGAAGGAGAAGAGTGGGGTGGAGAAAAAGAAAAAGGGAAGACACAGTGAGCACGCGCTCACACGGACTACGCCCCAGGGAGCTGCAGAGAACTTTCCCACCAGTTCACCGAAGGAGAGAGAAGGAAGGTCAGCGCCCAGAAACCTGGAGAGGCGGCCCTCTAGCAGGGGAGCGGAGGGCGCTCCTGGGAGGGAGGCGGAGCGAGCACTGGGGGAGGGGGCAGCCCTGGCACTCACTTGAATCCCATCCCCCTCCTCAGAAGCACCCTTTCTTGCTGCCCTCCCTCCTCCACCAGTCTTCCCTCTTCAGCTGACCCCTCCCCGCGCCGGGACCCCCTCCTCTGAGCTCACTGCTCTGGCCAGAAAGACCTGTCCTGAGCACCCACACTGGCCAGTCTCGGCTTTTCTTGTCCCAAAGCCGTCCACCGTATCCACAGCTGTGGTGCCCTCCCGGCCACCTCCTTCACTCACCCCACCCCTTTCTCTCCGAACAGCTC